CGCCAAAGTGTCATTCAAAGCAAAGTGGGCTTTTGGACAGGGAGCAGCCATCACACACACACTAGTGCTGCGTCTGTCACCCAGGCAGGAAATATTTATGACAGAGAAAATAGTGCAATAAACACACCATCATTCAAGATTAGAGCACTTGTAGTGATTTACACTCTGCAAGTTTGGATTTGTTTGTCAGAGAACACTGAACAACAAGTCTTGAAATTATGATAAGCGATAAGAATGAGATCAGGAGGTTGGGTTTTGGTGTACTTTTCAAGTGTGTTGCCAGTTGCAGGAAAAAATCTGTTATGATGTGTCTGGTGTTAGCCTTGGCTCAGATTTGTTCTGTTATGGATTGGACTGTATTTGTACTAGAATATAAATGTGCATTCAAAAGGGTGCAATGCTTGTGGTACACACATGTAACTTGTATTTATTTTTAAAATATATTTCTGTCAAAACAACCTGTTTTTAAACATGTGTCAGGATGCCAAAAGACCACAGTATAGTGCATGATGTGTGGGCATGTGAATGTGCAGCAGAGCCTGTGGGGCAGTGATGGCATTGATGTTTGTCCTCAGACCTGGTTTTATGGTTTGATTTTGTTGGAACCCCATTAGCAACTGCAGGGCTGTTCCATTCTTCCTGGCCCTTCTGTAGGGTGTTGGTGAGGAGGGGTCCTCTGACCGGGGCCGATATGTCCTGTTCACCTCTGCCCTGAGAGGCCACACAACAACAGCATTTGATCAATCATGAATAGTCACAGTTGTGCAAATACTGTGACCATTCCAAAAATTTATGATGGGGATTACACACAAAATCACACAATGTAACATTTTCAAATGTGTTATGAATGCCTCCCAGAATTCAATTCAAATCCTAGGTTACCAAATAAGGCTGAACAAATCCCCCACATTGAGTTCTTCCTCCTTTGAAGACTTGAGAGGTCTGGTCTGCAGGGCAGGTTTTACCACACCAGGCAGCACCTCAGCAGACAGGGGATCAGCACGGCAGGTGCACACAAGCACTGCACACAGCACTGCTACGGACACTTTTATTGCACAATCATAATCATATTACAGTCAGAACATACACACATTATCAGCTCACTATGGGGACTACATTACATTGTTTACATCCGTGTTTCAGGAGAGCACTTTCTGCAGCCATCTCAGATTCATTTCTGTTTTCTTGTAGCCATCTCCACTTCACTTCTGGGATTTGTTGGTCTTTTCCTGCACACACACACAAAAAATAATGGGTGTGAAGAATATTATCCTCAGTCTGGACAGACATTCTAATGTATAATACGTAAACAAATGTAAGAATAAACTGGAGATTAATCAGCCCCGTGTATTTGCTAATAGAAATAATGTGATGAGTTTGGCCTGATTATCTAAACGTGTCTGCTCTCATCAGGCCGTCCCAGAGTGACTCTAAAAGACTATCCCCTTTAATCCTCAGAGAAGATGTGAATGTGCGCCGACCTCCGGGGTCACAAACGCGTTACTTTGCACAGAGCTGCAGCTCTTTCAGATGAGCCGGAGCACGGGAGCAGCCTCTGTTTGGGCCTCAGTGTGGCACTTTATTCTTTGGATATGTTGCAAAGCAGCGGTGGCAGCGTATCTATCAAACCTGCCAGTCTAATTAAAATACAGCCTGCGATTATCCTCCTCCACCACCACCAAGCCTCATACACAAACACTATCTCCGTTTTCATGTGGCGCTATGTAAAAAAAAAAACAAAAAACGCACCAAAGCTGCGTAAATGACACAGATGAATCAGCCTATTAATTATATTTAGGCATATATGAATTATAAATATAAAATAAATACAAAATAAATCGCTCTACAAACTGTCTTATAAATAGTTATTTTTTCTGTTTTTCTAAATACAAACAAACGTAAAGATATCAAAATGTAGAGGAGTCAGAAAGATATATTGTACACTAAAACAGATCTGTAAGCCTTTCACTTTTTCACATTACAATAAATTTGTATTTCCAAAATTAATCCAAGATATATAGATATATACATATATAGATATATATTTTAAATATGTAGGTCACATTGTTTTCAGTCTATTTGTTCGAATAAAACAACAGCGCATTGATAAGGTGCAGTGCACGTGTGCCACTGTGCGTAAAGATCGGGCTTGGAGGTTGACAGTGGAGCAAAGATAAAAGTGCCACGTCAATTAGTACAGAGTCGCTGGGAACCGGCGCCAGAGGCGCTCTCTGCGCCGCCTCTAAACGGCCTTTTAGCCGACACGGTCCCCACGGAGGACGCCCTTTATATTTCATACATTATTTACCGCTTCTGCCGAGAACTGTTTGATACCTGCAGCTCATGTAGAGTATGAACATGGTGACAGGGCTTGTAACATGAAAGTGGATGATAATGGTCACTCCATGGGCCACAGTAAATATACAGGCCAGTATATTAGACGTTCTAAAGAGTGCAGAAGTGCGCCAAACATAAAGATCACAGAAGCAATAAGAAAATGACGGGCATACCTGAGTGCTGATCAGAGCCAGGCTTCATTAAGATCACCATTCGCGGACCTGGTCCAAATCCAAACACATCCATGATCCCCGTCCTCATCTGTCACATAAACACGAGAGTAAGTGCGCGTGTCTTTACTCCGCTTCTCAGTGGAGCCATACAGAGCCAAATGACGGCGTAAAGCCCGCTCCTCCGTGTTTACAAATCAAAATCAATATTCAGATGTGGTTCAGGAGAGCGGCGTGTCCGCGCAGCGCACTGCGCGATAGTGCCTGTGACAGTGTGTAGGTGTTCACAAAGCCTCTTAAGATGAGACATTTAAGAAGCCATGGAAAACCCTCCCGTATTATTTTGAGTTGAGCACGAGGGTTCCTTCAGTGACGTATGACGCGTATTTATCACATAGGCCAGCGGGAGAGGAGTGAAATACACAACTGTTCAAACTATTATTATTATTATTATTATTATTATTATTATTATTATTATTATTATTATTATTATTATTATTATTGATGTCATTAGTAGGCCTATTAGTAGGATATTATTGAACCTGAGTACAGAGGCCTACCTTGTAAAGTCCTCCGGTGAGTTGTGCCGCGGGCCTGCGGCGGGGCAGTCTTGAAGCTGGGGGAGCTGGTGGCAGCGCACTGGCTCTCTACGGCTGAAAGGACACTTTTAAGGCAATAACTTAAAAATCTCCTTGTGGACGCGCTGGAATGTGAAGGCGCACTGGGACGTTTGAGTTGCCTTGACATAACGTGCACCTGACTATGGGCCACTTCAAAGGATCTTAGTAGCTATTTCAGATCCTATCATGGTTTGACATTGCTGCGTTTTACTGTGCCTACATGCCTCTCAGTTACCTAGACTCAATTTAAGAGTCAGTTGTGTCTTTATGAGATATAAATATTATGTTAACATGGTGCCAAACATACAGCATGTTTACTTCTCAAAGTAGTGCTGTGCAGTGGGATGGATGTTGTCAGTCGCCCTCTCGATGCCATTGGCTGAGGACTGCGCGTCAAAAAAGTAGCAGGAGACATTTGTTTTCCTAAAAAAAAAAAAAAAAAAAAGAGCCCTCCCCATCAGTGTGAGACGGCGCAGAGACAGAGCTGAGTCCTGCGGCTCCTATTGGCTGGCCCTCTGTACAAAATCCAACTCCAACCACTCCAACTCACAACACCACACATCCTCAGGCGAAGCACCTCCTCCATCTCTGCGCTGCGCTCACGGTTCTGCCGCTGCCACACGCTCTCTGCCGCTTTCTCCAGGTTCTGGGCACGCTTCGGTTCGGCTCGGGTTTACGATTTTTTACTGAGACCAAATCTGTACAGGACGACGCTTTGTGTTACCAGTCTGCTTGGTCTGTTTGGAGGAAGCACTACCAAAAACTTTATCCTGCTCTCTCACACACACGCCAGGTAATTTTAATTTTTAAAATTATTTTAAATGCAATTGTATTTTATTTATTTATTATTATTATTATTATTATTATTATTATTATTATTATTATTATTATTGATAATACTATATGTGCCAAAATGTGTTTAATAAATCTCATTTGAACAGTCCGTTTTAGCTCAGTTTTGGTGGACTGGGCCCACTCCAATGAAAAGCATTAATCCCTTAAAAGTGCTGCAAAATGCAATTTTGTTTTGACGCATTACAATTATTGTGTTAAAACACACAGAATGATTAGTGTGCTCGCGCTGTATATTACTGAACTGGTCTTGGCTAAGAGATTGCGCTAAAGTGTCTGGGAGCGTAAAAGTCCAGTATGTGGAGAAAAGGGCGCGCAGGTGCAAGCAAAAGCAAAGCTCGCACTCACGTCACTCGGTTTATTCATTCAAACATTTAGCCTATCATAATTAATTTTTGTTCGGTCTAATTATTATTGAGCGGCAGAACAACTAATAAACGGCTGTTTAAGCGCGACAGATTGGGACAAGGGGGTTAAAACCGTTGGATATGGGAGGAAAAAATGCAACTAATCAAGACGCACAGTGGGGAGAGCGGCTGAAGGTCAGTAAAGTTGACGTGACACCAATAACGCATTGTGCGTATCGGTTAAAGTAGGCCTACTGTTATCATGCTTTTAGAAAAACATGTGAACACGTTTACGCTTCAGAGCACGGCCTCCCTGCAATATTTGTCTGTTTATGCGTTTTTAGAAAACTGTTATTATTATACCGTGTGTCGCTTCAATCAGACGTTTTTTATAATTTGATTAAAATCATTTACCCTAATAAACAAACCAAAATAAATAAGACGTTAATTAGGCCATTGTGTTTATTTTAGTCCCCTCACAGGGATCATTTTATTCGAAAGGTTTAGGCCTGCTCTTTTTTTCATTTAAAACTTGTCTAATGTGATGATAACGCACGTCTCTTGTCTCAACAGAAGAGCGCTTAAGTCAAGCGGGGACTGAACCCAGTCACATTTTGGGAGCTCCACCAATTTTCAAGATTTTCTCCAACTTCAGCCCTCAGACAAACATTAGCATGATGTCATATCTAAAGCAACCGCCTTACTCGGTCAATGGGCTCAGCTTAACCACTTCCGGGATGGACCTCCTGCATCCATCAGTGGGCTATCCAGGTGAGTGGAACGAGCAGATGGCAGGTGACGGGACAACAGTGATTTTATCGATCAAACTGTAATTAAAATGCACAAGGTTATCAAAGATCTATAAAAATACAATTTATTTCACAAGGCATGTGCGCATCTCGTGCGTAATTACGCATTGAACCTCGGGTTTCATTACAGATCCACTGACCGAGTGGCTATTTACAAGTCTGATCGGGTCTGTATTATAGTAAATTAGAAGCGCATATTCACATCAGCTTGATTTGTTCTATTGTTGCAGCAACGCCGCGGAAGCAAAGACGAGAAAGGACGACTTTCACGCGCGCACAGCTCGACGTTCTGGAGGCTCTGTTCGCCAAAACTCGATATCCGGACATATTCATGCGCGAAGAAGTGGCCCTGAAAATTAACCTTCCCGAATCACGAGTACAGGTGAGATTTGACCACAGTCAAAAATGTGTTCATAGCCTTTTAATTCCTCTACTAAATAACCTATTCTAATATTTCGATCCAATTCATTTTGATGTAAACATCAAAATGAATTAATGTTCAGCATTTATTTATGTAGCCTATTAATTTATGTAGCCTATTTATGTGTATTTATACATATTCGTCGTTTTAATAATTATATTCATCTTGTCACCTTGGTATAATAATTATTCTGTTCATCAGACAAACTAAACAGGATATCTCTTACCTTTTTAGATAAGGTATTTTACATGAACAACTAAATTATAATGCAATTATGTGCTTAAAAAAAATAAACGATTGATCTCACATACTGAAAAAAAAAGAATTGTGGCGCTAAAAAGACAATTTAATGTGCCATAATGCCGAGGCTAGAACAATACCGACAAGAGTGCTATAATATAATGATTTTTGTGTGTCATTTCTAGGTGTGGTTCAAAAACCGACGGGCCAAGTGTCGCCAGCAGCAACAGCAGCAGCAGAACGGGGGACAGAACAAGGTGCGGCCGGCCAAGAAAAAAAGTTCTCCTGCCCGAGAAGTGAGCTCTGAGAGCGGGGCCAGCGGACAGTTCACACCCCCAACCAGCACCACCACAGTCCCGGCTATCTCCAGCAGCAGCGCGCCGGTGTCTATCTGGAGCCCAGCGTCCATCTCGCCCCTGTCAGACCCCCTGTCTACCTCCTCCTCGTGCATGCAGAGGTCTTACCCCATGACGTACACGCAAGCCTCGGGCTACAGTCAGGGCTACGCTGGCTCTACGTCTTACTTCGGTGGAATGGACTGCAGCTCCTACCTCACGCCCATGCACCACCAGCTGTCCGGGCCCGGCTCCACGCTTAGCCCCATGAGCACAAATGCAGTCACGAGCCATCTGAACCAGTCCCCCGCGCCTCTGTCCACCCAGGGCTATGGGACGTCAGGTCTAGGCTTCAACTCGACTGCGGACTGCTTGGATTATAAGGACCAGGCAGCGTCCTGGAAACTCAACTTCAACGCGGATTGCTTGGATTATAAAGACCAGTCCTCGTGGAAGTTCCAGGTCCTGTGAACAGTGTAGCAGCCAAAACACAAACTAACGACACGACGCTCCCGGAGCGAAGCTCCAGTGGAGATTCTATAATTTATTCATGTGCGTCGTGCACATCTCTGCAGGACACACCTGTTGAAGCGCACCTCAGCCACGGAATACGAGTATGTGAAAACAGAGGGGCCCTGAGGGGCCACTCAGCTCTGTACTCAGCAGACACGTGGGTCGCTGTGTGGACACGGATGCACTACTTTATTTAAGAAAAAAGTGTTTATAAGGAATCCATATGTAGTTTCTGAGAGACAATCAGTGTGTGTCTTATATAAATGGTATCAGTGTTTTTGTTTTTTATCTGTGATAGCCTTCAAACTGTGATCTGTTGTATTGTATGCAATTTGTGAGCCCCTCGCATCAGACTGCAGTGACTTTGGACGGACTCGGTTCAGTGCTTGGGCTTTGTCCAGTGCAGAGGCGCGCGGGCCTGCTCCTTCACTCTTTGTGGATCTGCTTTGGCCCAAAGACGGTGTGACCTCACCGCTCCAACTCTCAATAAAGGTCCTGAGCTCACCCTTATTCAGAGGCAGTCTTTGTGTGCGTGCTGCTGTTGCTGCTGCTGTGTGTAGGAGAGCGCTATAGCTGCGGTTCACTCTGCCCTATATTATACCAACACATTTAAATCGATGTGTAACCTATCGCCGTGGTTTAGACTGGGCCGGGGAGGCTGAGGTAAAATTGGCTTTGCTTTTGTCTAGTCTGGAGCTGGTGGTGGGGTTTCCGGTGGCTCATCTGAACAAAGAGAAAGGATTTAATCCTGGCCTTCAAAATGTTAATCCCAATATTTTAGCGGTGGGAGAGTGTGAGGCGAGGGGCGGCGATGGTCCTGTAAAGCGGACCAGAGTGCCCCCCTCTAACAAAAATGGCCCAATTATTATAACCCACTTTTAATAAGTGCCCTGCTGCTTTGTCACTAATAACACTTTTATATACCTTGACAACAAACAAAACAAAGAAAATACTGCGCATCTGTCCTTGTTCACCGAACGGATCAATTCAGATTTGCTAAACATTTTTGTTTCTCCAAGCAGCACAAAGGCAAAAATCCATGCAGGCCGTATTCTAATTGCTTTGAATGGAGGCTATACTTAACTTCGTGCGCGCGAACGGTCATGTAATGACTCTGCAATTGACTAATTGTTAGAAGTCCAACATTCAATTAGCATCCTTGACATTAGCAATAATCTCTTTCATTGGAGTCTCGCTGAAGGAGCGCACTAATTAAATGCGTAGTTGGACTAATCAAAGCGTTAAAGAGAAGAGCCACTTTGATTCTAAGCAGCTGCAAAAAGGTGTGTGCCTGCACCGTGCCAAGTGATATGAGCTGTGCCTCTTTACATCAAAACTATAGGAGGCCAAACCGAACCCACCAGCACAAACATGTTTATTCATCACCGCACCTGCGGTTACGCACGCGTGTCAGGGCACCAAAATGCGTCTGGGGTTGTGGGGAGAGGCCAAGAAGAATCCTAGAGACCTTGCTGTTTTGCTTTTTTTTTGCGACTTGAACATGACTAAACTTTGGGGTTTCCGTATTTCTCGAGGTATCTGCGGTTCTAAACGGTTCATGAGAGGATTTAACGCCGCATCAGGGTATCTGGTTTTACGTCCGCGCGAACCATGTGACTCAAGGCTTGTTGTAGTCCCATAAAGAGCACAAGTCAGCCAAGGTTAAACGTCGTTCTTTTGAATCTGGAGCAGAGCACCGTGAGATTCACACGGGAGGAGCAAAGTAATACCCCAAGCTGTGTCTCTTCATAAGAACGTCTCCACGCGGTCATAACGAGCTCTCCAAATCTGGCACTTGATCCAACGTAAAAACGGAACAAGCCACATGATCAAGAGATATATTTGATAAATCATCTCTGCGCCTTTATGGTCAGAAATCCTGAGGCCGGAGATGGCCTCGTCCCAGTACAAACATCTTAATAAAACTTTAAGTACAACATTCTTTGTGTGTCACCCAGTGAGTCAGCACCCACAAACGATGAAAAGGTAAGTGCTGAAACAATAAAAACTCTTAGGCCTATATAGGCTAATCCAGCTGTATTCTGTTCAAAGTGCTAATCCAGGCTGAGTCGATATTTTCTGGAATCATTTAAATTTGTGACATCATCAATGAATTTGATAATCTTGTCAAGGATTACATTAAAAGGGTTTGTATAGTGTACATAATAACAGATTTAAAAATCAACTCTAAAGAGATTTGAAGTAAGCGCAGTAAAAAGCATGTTATTTTAATTTCTCACACTGCTCACATAAATCCGTGGATTTACGCAGATCCACAACTGATAATGCTAGAAGTGGTTCCCTCGTGAAAAGGGCCACACAGGGTACAGGCAACGCCACAAAAACCTAGACAATAAACGCGCAGTTTCCCCTCTTCCAGGGGCCTTCTGAAATGGGAATGTATGGATCCCTGTCACATGAGCACGAGCTTGATTCTTGAGAATTATTAGTCGCCTTTTCCAAGTGCCCGGGAGGGGAGGGCCACGGACATTAAGCAGAAAAGGTCCACAAAGACATAAGAAGCTTAGCAGATCCTAGCATATGTTAGAACAATGTTGCTTTAATACCTAGTTAGTTAATGTCATACAAAGAGACAGTACAGTTTATATTTTAGTGGCTTTGGCGTAAATCAGCTTGGAACAAAAAACTAAGTGCTCTTTAAGCTCTAGTCTTTAATGATTTGCCACTAACAGCAATTTTCCCTGACCTGATCAAAATGCCCAGCACGATTGTTATGGATTATTATGGCCCTAATGGGGTTGTTCCAGGGTGGCTAAACCCCCATGTCTCAATTGAGAAAACTGTATGACTTATATTAACTTCACATGTCTCTCCAGAAAATATTTAGCGCTTTGCAATAGACACTTTGGCCGTATTATTATTTATTAGTATTTAAGAAAATCAGTTGAATATATATATTTTTTCTTCTAGCTACAAATCAGAAGCTTCAGCTTAGAATTGACATTGAATATGATTTAAACCAAAGCTGTATTATTTTTTTCAAATTTCCACAGTGCATTTAAAGTCTCATCTTATTCTTATGGGAGAACTAGCGGGGAACAAGTGACATCTGACATAGCACATAAGCCGTAATCAAACTCAATAGTTAATGGCCCCAAACACACCTTTTGATCACAAATAGCTTACAAATTTAATGACTTCATGGTGACGCGAGCCAGTTTCTCTTCATTCTGCCCTGTATTCTCACCACCACGGGCTGCACGGCTTTATCAAAACCAAAAGAGCCACTGGATCTGCAGAAGAAAATAGTGGTGGAACAACATCATTTATTGGTTTCTTATTAATCTCTGGACCCATTACACTGAGCTTCAAGGAGTCTCCTGGAGCTAGAATTAAAACAGCATTATCATAAGTCAGTGTACAGTGAGATGTGCTCTGCTCCCTGTGAGGCCTCTGTGTGTGACAGTCAACCCAGGTACTGATCTTCACTTTAACATGCTCTTAAAATACAGCTTCAAAACATCACATTCCAACAGAGGATGTATATTTGAATCAAGCTGAGAAAAGGAGAAAGGCTTATTTAAGTCACTGCTCTACATTAATGAACTGTATTATTATTAATTATTTTGGAACAGTGAGAATACATGAAATACATGCTGTAAATATCCTGGGCTCATTTCAATCTGTTGTCCTGCCTTCACTGTCAAACACACTCACATTCATACAGCAGTGCACTTCAAAACTCAAGACAAATTAGGTGAAGTGTCTTGCCCAAGGACAGACCAACAGTATGCACTTAACTAGAGCCACTGCCCCTATACTATAACACTTTGTATTCCCAGCAGTCTCTTATTCAGAACACAAAGCTGCAAAATTAATCTAGTTTACTCTAAAATTGCCGGAGCAGTAGATAATCAAAACTAAAGTAGACTATTAGAACACCAAATACACAGTTTAGAAGCAAAGCAAAAAAAAAAAAAAAAAGGTGATTTAGTTCCACTTTAATGTATAATTTCTCTTTTTCTACCAACCCTTCAGTGTAAATATAGTTTATTAGAAATTGTTGATGGTTTTATCATGACCAAAATAAATATTAATATTAATCAAGATATACTTTTCTGAAAAAAAATACAAAAATGAATATCTTCTCTATATGTAATATATTTTTAAACAATATTCAGACAATACTATCTCAATCAAATAGAAATGTATAATAGTATAATACATATAAGTTGAGATTTATCAACTTTATGCCCTTATTTGGAAGTTCATAACATTTTTCAAAACATTTCATTTTAATTATTGCTCTTTTTGCAGCATAATTATTATAAAGAATATACTCATTTATCAAATTGTGTTTCTTCAAAACAACTTTCACAATATTAACTATATTTTAATAATCTGTCCACCTCTGTACAGTCTCCTGGTCACAGAGACAGTGTGACCAGGCCAAATACAGAACACATAAAATCATAAAATAACACGAGGACACGTGAATGGAAGAAGTACAACACTTTAAACTGTGCGCAGGTTTTATCAGCACAAAATAATAACTTCCTCCACTGTGCTTATGTTTTCTAATATATTATCAACTAGAAATAAACAAATGCTTACCTTGTCTCGGTGGTGGTGCAGATGAATGAAGTGGGCGTAGTGTGATGTGGCCTCTGGGGAAAACAGGTGTGATTACTACACATATATTGTACACATACACTCTTTAGGTGAGTGAGCTGAAGCTGCATGTGCCTTTGTGAGGTGTGAGGCCACCTATTCACATGTCCACAATATAAATGTGTAAATAAAACTGGACAATCTGGAGAATTTTTCAAAATTCACAAAAATGGGGCCTAGGGCAGACTGTATTGTCACGATACTATTTCATGCTCGATTTTGATACTAGGAATAGACTCGATACTCAATACGGATTCAAATAATACCACAATGATAATAAAAAATAATTAAGGCAATGCAATGTGAGTTTCAACAATAAATAGTAG